ATGACGGGTTTCACCGGTGCCACATTACCCTTGAACTTACGTCACTTCCTGTGCCAGTTACCCAGCAATATTAATTTCATTTATACATTTGTTACCATGTGTTACATATGTCAAAAAAGTGATCGTTACAAAATTTGTTACTAACTTACCGCTAAGTTAGCTGACTTTTTAATGGGAAATTTCTAGACAAGGGAAGATGCTAGAAACAATTTTTGGACATCTATATGATCGTATTGATCCAATCTATATGTCCATTGGAATCAAATATCATAATGTTAAATGAATGATAAATATAACTCACTTCATAACAATTTGAAGGCTAATAATACAGTTTTTGCCAAAATTACATTACTTCCGGTGATAATAAAATTTTACATTAATTCTATGAAAATATAAATTGCATAAGGCCTCACATGGTGAAAATTTTAAGATAATCGAATAATAATTGACACTTTTATAGACCAAAACCTATATCTCTGCAACCGAACAAATTAGAAACCATTTTTTGATATCTGTATGGTCGTATGGGTGTTTGCCCAAATGTCGTCATTTTCAGTTGGATTGACCTAGTCAAAGGTGGCATGAGGCATCACATGGTAACAAAAATTGAAAATCGAACGATAATTGACTCTTTTACATGCAAAATAACGTGAAAAGTGACGCATGCAAAATTGCCTATTTCTTTGCAACTGCGCATATTACAATCTAATTTTGCCATACATTGTCCTTGTATGGATTGATGCTACAACATTATGAAAGTTGCGTAGAAATAATTTAAAATATGAAGACGATAAATAGCTGATTTTTACTCCTTTTTTTAACCTTAAATCCAAATGGCGCAAATACAAAACTGATATAAAAAAACCAAAAAAACTAAGCCCGACATATTTTGCGCCTGTAGTAGGAGCAGTCATCTTCATTGATAAGATTTGTAGAAATTAAGATTTTTCCTTAGGAAAAGACCTCCCGACCCGTCAAAATTTAAATTTTGGGCAAGATTACGTCACTTCCGGTGCCGACAAAACTTTATAGGTAGAAACAAGCTGAGAATTTGCACCAAGGAGTATATGAGCTTTTGTTTTATACAAATCAGGCAATAAATAATTAATTTAGAACCCATAAACTGTAATAAAAATGCGAAAAGTCTTAAAAAGTGATCCTGACGAAATTGGTTATTTCTTTGCAAGAGAAGATGCTAGAAGCTATTTTTTGACATATTTATGATCGTATTGATCCAATCTATATTTCCATTGGAATGAAATATCATAATGGTAAACGAATACTAAATATAACTCACTTCAAACAAATATTTGTTTTGAAGGCTAAAAATACAGTTTTTGCTAAAATGACATTACTTCCGATGAGAATGAAAATGTTAAATTAGTTTTATGAAATCAGAAATGGCATAAGGCATCACATGGTGAAAATTTTATGAAAATCGAATAATATTTGACACTGTTATAGACCAAAAACCTTGAAAAGTGACTAGTAGAAAACCGTCTATTTCTCTGAAACCTTACAAGTTAGAACCCATTTTGTGGTATCTATATGGTCGTATGGGTTCATTCTATTTGTTGATTGAAATTAAATATCATACTTTTAAACAAATAACATATATGACTCAATTGAAAAAAATATATCGGTTTTGAAGGCTAAAATTCAGTTTTTGCCCAAATGACGTCACTTCCGGTGACAGTAAAGGTGTTAAAATGGTTTAATCTAGCCAAACGTGGCATTCGGCATAAAATGGTGAAAGAAAATTGAAAATTGAATAATAATTGATTCTTGTACAGGCAAAATAGAACGAAATGTGACTCATGCAAAATTGCCTATTTCTCGACAACTGCTGATATTACAAACTAATTTTGACATACATTCTCTTTGTATAGTTATTGCTACGAGGTTATGAAAGTTACGATGAAATATTTTGAAATATGAAGACGGTGGATGGGTTGTAAATAGCTTAATTTTACACCTTTTTTCACCTTTTAATCCAAATAGCCCGAAAACAAATTCGAAATTAAAAAAACTGAGTCCGATGATTTGTGCGCCTTTGCATGGCGTATACTTTCGGTAATATCAAATTTTGAAAAAATAATATTTGCTTTCAAAAAGTTGTACCGAACTGTCAAAATTGTAGTTTTTGCTGATTTTACTTCACTTCCGGTGCCGACTCGAATCTTTACCGGTAACAAAATAAATGACATTTTGGGCCACTCAGCATTTGAACTTTCTTTTGTACAAATGGAATAATAAATAATTAATCTAGGACTGAAAAACTGAATTAGCTAATGGCGGCCAAGGAAAATTACGGACACAAAAAATGTTGACATTTTTAGTCAAATCGGATAACTCTTCAACCCTAGTTAAAATGCCATATAAAAATATTTATAAATAAAAAAATTTTTTGTAAAATTTTAAATTTTCGAAATTTGGCGCTTAATATCTACAAAGATTCGTCGACAATCAAAAATCAAAAGTAGCACAGCTATGTGTCTGGTCTCCGGCTATGTCAAAATGCATCATATGTTAAAATTCGATGATTATTGTTAATACTACGGCATTTTTTTAAAAAACGACAACTTCGGTGATTTCGGACATTTTGATTTGTCACAGAATGCCCAAAATAGCTTTAATCTCTTAAGTCACACCCACTTTCCCAATAAAACCGAAGAAATCGTATCGATCCGACATGTAGTTTCTGAGATACAATCAAATTGGAAAAAAAAAAAATAATAATAATAATAAGAATAATCTTAACAAAAACAATAGTGTTTCACACAAGCTTCGCAGTGTGAAACCCTAATAATCTTAACAAAAACAATAGTGTTCACACAAGCTACGCAGTGTGAAACCCTAATAATTTTAGTAATCTCAATAGGCTTTCAGACTTTCGTCTGAAAGCCTATTGAGATTACTAAAATAATAATAATAATTTTAGTAAAAACAATAGTCTTTCAGACAAAAGCCTGAAAGCCTAATAATTTTAGTAAAAACAATAGTCTTTCAGACGCCTAATAATATTAATCTTAACAGAAACAATAAGCTTCCATATGTAATACATGTGAAAGCTTAATAAATATAACAGTCAATATGGTATCACAAAAACAAATTCATGCCAGGTTTTGAAACAATTTCTTCCGGGTATAAAGCAAAGTGCACTACACTTCCATGGAGTTTTTACTTCCTTTTTGAAAGATGTTCAACACATTTTGCAGTTTTTGCGTCCTTTAGTTGCTTTAGTATTGTCTGCTAAGCTGTTAATATCTTCTGCAATTTCTACTGGTAAATGTTTAGCTGGTTGTAATGCTCGCAAACACATCAGAGATGTCGGTTCCAAAAGTTGACCACTAACAAGTTCATTCACAATAGCTCTTTTAAATTTAAGTTGGGATAACGTCGATTGATTCATGGTTTTCTTCATTTGACAATGTATGATATAGCTGTTCACTACAGCAATGTCTATAAAATGGAGAAATAAAGTTTTATACCATTTTCTGGTTTTACCGTAATACCTGGTAGTACTGTACAAGTTGATCTGACAATCTACTCCGTCCATAAATTTGTTATATTCCTTTACGGTAGGTGGAAAAGGAATATCAATGGTTTCAAATTTTCCAGCCTGGGAATTCTTGGTTTTCCTTTTGACACTGTCAGAACCAGCAGGATTATGAAATGTTGAACACATAGTTACATCACGGTTGTCTTTCCATTTCACAAAGAGAAGATTTTTGTCTCGTATCCATCTTATACTTCCGCGTTTTACACCTTTTAGCGAATAATTCAATTTGGATTTTGGGAATCCCTTGCGATTTTCACGAATTGTACCACAAGCTAAAGTTCTATGAAATAACAAATCCTGAAATAATGTTGCTCCCGTATAAAAATTGTCAACAAACAACTTATAACCTTGTTTAAAAACAATGTCATACGTAAAACCATTTCCAAAATTCTGAGTATTCTTCCCAATATAAATATCAAATACAGAAGTATATCACTGAGAACTGCTAAAGGGTGAATCTGTGCACAGCCACCATATAAATCTCAGTCATAGTTGTTATTTGTATGTGTATCGAAAGAAAATTAATTTACCGACTATTACTCGGTATTACCGCGTTAAAACTGTAAATAAGGTAACTGTCTGGGAGGTGAGATAATTAACGTTAGGGGTGAAAAACTGTGCAACAGTGCGTTTTCAGTAGAGGTGTGTTAATTAACCGACCGGTAAAAAATGAATGTCAATGTTGTGTATTGTTTAATTGGCGTGTTTTCTCGCTAGTTGCGATAACTGCATCAAAAGGAGTATAATCAAGGACCAACAGGCTTTATCGGACACGTACGTGTTAAATCAAAATTTGGGAAGTAAACTGTGCGATTTATCATTCGACCGTGTGTTTTACGCAGGTCTTTGTATAATTAAAGACAGGTCTCTCGACAGGCGTGTGTGCTCGCTATGATCTACGTTTCTCTTACGTGTCTTTTGTATTGCGTACCATATATATAAAGTTGAATTTAATGAAATAAAAATACGGACCTTAATCTATCGTATACGGAAAGGCGAATGTAATGTCGTCATTTATAAAGAATTTCATACAGATTGGGTTATAACTTTTGTCGTTTAAGCGTTCACAAGATTCAACAATGTGAAACAAGGTACCAAAACACATAATTAATATTAGATCATCCATAAACATGTGACTAGTACTTCACTTTAGGCAATGTGATGAGGTCATGACAATTCATCGAAATCTATCGTTTATTGCCATTTTAGGCGATCACACTTTAAACGTCATTTGGAAACTTTTAGAAAACGTAAAAACTTCTGGAAAGTGTTTAGAGATAATATGAAGGTTCTGGAAGGTTCTACAAAAAGTTGGAAGGTTCTGGAAAGTCGGGGAAAATTTGAAATTGTTCCAGAAAGTTCTAAAATTTTCTAAAACTATATATAAGCCAGACCAGACCAGTCTGAAGGCAGAGCTTTCTTAGCACTTTATATAGAACTCAACCTTTGTCGTTAGTTTCTATTTGAACGACATGGTATGTGTTCTCGATTTATTGCCATTTCATGCTGTTGCACTTATTGTGCTGTTTTGAGAGAAATTATCTCTGTTTTGCATTGTGCTGTTTTGAGAGTTGTAATCCTAGTGTATTGTTACAACGTCGGATTATACTGATTCAAGGATTATTCATCCTGTCAGTTTTGGATCATCAAGATCCTGTGTAATTCTGCAACACTGAGAAGACATGCATAAAGGACTGTCTGCAAACTACTACTTTAAAACAGTAGAAGCACCGATTGGACTGAATACTGTGAGTAATCCTGTACATTGACTCTGATCAACACTGTTATACTTGTACTTATACTCATTTATTCCAATATCATTTTATCATTTGTATATATACTATTAAATCAGTTGTTGTGTAGATTTGTTTGATCGAGGTACTGGGTAGATCGTGAATCTGTAAACTGCAATTGCAATCTAATTAAAATATAGATCTATATTTCGTTTTGTTTTTTATACTTTCATTGGCCTACACTACATGTAGATCTAACAAGTTATAGTGGGAGTTCACGGTCTATGAAGTCAGGTACCAAGCAAGTGATATTTGACCCGATTACGTCAGTCATTCGATTAACCAATTAGCGACCGCATGTATTTTTTATCTACTTTTGCTTTGTTTTGATTTCTATTGCCGCTAATGTCTACCCACAGTTCCGCGCAAAAAAAAGGTCAAACGCTCAATTCGACAGACCATTTGATTGGCTGACCCCTCATTTCAAGCAGAACACGAGTTAAATAACAACGTTTCCAGATCCAAGTGTAGTAAAGACAAGTAAAATCAAAATTTTAAACTATAAAAACGAAACGAAATTGGATCTGTGTTTTAACCAGATTGCTGCAATTGATACTCAGAGGTTGTAACAGGCAAAAGAAAAAAGTGACTAAAGATACTTACCACATCGTCGGGAGTAAGAAGTTCCACAAAATTATCTGGAAACACTCCAACCTTTCCATTGACTTCTCCCCTCCACCAACCATCATCTTCTAGGTGTCTATTTAAAACATTAACCATTTCCCCCTCCTTAAGATTCAGTTCATCAGGTTGATCGGCTGCATAGGAATAACGAACAACAGCTTTTTCACCTATAAAATAGTTAAGTTCTGATCAATTATGTAACCTCAAAAAGCATAGGTTTTCATGTAATGAAACATGTCCACTAGCAGTTAATAAGTTGTCCTCTAAAATGCTGACAAGATTTCGTAACAAAAGGCAATAAGTCTATAAGTTATTATTGAAAATCGATAGGATACTTTCTTTTAATAGGGCAGTCCAAGATCATAAAGAACCGCTTGCCATGCAAGATACTCCCACATCTTGCATCCTCTCATTGTTCAAATGCTTCACATCGCGCTAGGAATAAAAGCGTGGAATACAATCCCACAGCAGCTTTGTCTCAAATACAGCTTTTCCGAAAGGAAAACTTGGATGTTGAGCAAATTTGATGACTCTGGTGCAGAAAATCGCAGAATGTTTAATATCAATTAACCCAGGAGTCCAGTGAGATTTAATCAAAATATTGAGTCCAAAAGGTTTGAGGTCTACAACACATATTTTACCCCTAGATCATTTTCGAAAGGCAAGTCTTAAGTTTTGTAATCTGTGCATATACATGGGAGTGCTCCCCCTAACCCTCCCAAATTTATTGAGAGTTAAAATTCAATGTCCATCCACAATTTTTTTGCAAACGTTTCATACCTAACACTAATAGTAAGTGCAGGGGGACTGCACCACACAAAATTTACACAAAAACAAATACACGGACAAGACATCATACTCAGGAAAACACAGACAGAGAATTCAAAAAAGGGTGAATGGATCTTGGGGGCTAGCCGTAAGCGTCCACTGCGCTGTACAGTCTCGGGTCCGTAGTGACACAGACTTCACTCAAATTTGAAAACAATCAGGAATACAACCCAAAGAAACCATTGTGCAATGCCAGCATGAGTCTTGATCTGCTATATGCTACACGAAATACGAGTCGAATGTAAGTATATGTAGTAAAATTCAACTATACAAGTAACCACATCAGTGAAATGTATAAAAAAAAGTAGTCTAAACCTAAGTGCTCTAAAAACAATCAAGAAACGTTTCAGTATTCAACACATATAGGGCACATGTTCCATCCGTCACAAAAATCAAAAAGGAATACAAAGAAGCAAAAAGGAAATGTAGACTGTCTCAAGAGGCAGCCACTCATGGCGACGTTATTTTGGGGAATGACGTCACATCTTAGGTGATAAAAAATCACAATAATAAGGGCGATAATCCAAATAAAATACCGTTAAAAGCTTAAAAACTATAAGTTTTAGCGAATAATTGGAATTATTAAGTTATGTAATTGTACAATTTATAATATATTAAGAATGCGTTTGCGAGAGAACCATGCAGGGACCGGCACATGGTGGGTGACTGATTTTCAACATTTTTTTTATGTATGATGGGTAACCCCTCCAAACCCCACTGCCACAATTTTAGATCAATCGAACCATTTTTAAAGGGTAGAAAAAAATTGAAATTTTAAGACTGAAAAAAGCCAAAAAATCATCATTTTCAGGCCACTTTCAATTATTTCGTACAACTAAACTCAGGCGAGTAGATTAATGAAACTTTATAACGTAGCAGATACGGTTAGTGAGTATACATTCTGAAAGTTTGATGGATTTTTATGGAGCGGTTTTTGGTATAGGGACTTATTGCTGCCAGGTACCAAAATAGCTCAATTTAGGTATGTCATTTTATTCTATCTATATCTCACCCACTGCGGGTTTAAATATTTTTTTGGCAATGTTGACTGAAAAGGCAATGATATATAGTATTAAGATCAAGAAAAAAATTGGGTGGCACTCGACCCGTTTAGTAGTAAATAATTTCCATTTTTGTACAAAAATAACGATTTTCAACAAAATGACGAAAAATAACCCGCTATATTTACACACTGAAAAGTGTAACATGGCATTTGAAACCCAATTAACGTGGTTTCCAGTTCCAGTAAGAGCAAGCCATAATAGAAATAGAAATAAACAATAAATATGAACGCAGATTAAATACTTTCATAAAAAAATTCAAGTTTAAAAAATGTTCCATTATCAAAATTACAAATACTTATTACTATCTACCTATCTATCTATCTATCCAATAAGTATCTAATCACGAAAACTGAGCTCACAATTACACCGTTAAAATTTTCAAACGAAGTTTGAAAAGCTTAATTTACTGTAAATGCCAAAAGAGCTGTTCTTGGTAAATACAATTAATCTCTCTAGACTATTTGTCAACATTTTATTAATTCGGCAATATAACTTCATGATCTAGTAGAAGGGTGATGAATTTTTGAACAGCAAATCGTAAAATCTAAATAGTGTACTAGTCATATACATCTGTCTATCCTTGACAAACGAATCAAGCGATATTTCAAAAAGACAAAAAACAAATTGTATATGAGCGTAAGGTCACTATTATAGCATACTCCCCGCAGTGTTTCGTTTGATTAGACCTAATCCCACTCAACACTGCCGTAATGAAAGAAAATTTCTGTTCCAAATTATAACTGGTCAATAGTCCGATTAACAACCAATACCTAACTGAGTAACAATATCATTCTGCTTTAAACATAGTTTCAAATATGTTAACATAAGGTTACGTCATGATTCACGAAATTTATTATGCCCAATTAACCAGTGCATAGCAGAATATTGCAGAAAAACTAATTGCGTGACAAACAAGGCTATCAACATGGCTACAATATAAACAATACTGTTTGGAGAAAAACAATACTTTCACCGTTTTTAATACCTTAAATCACTGTCCAAAGTTTTAGGGAAGACCCCAGATTAAACGAAAGACTTTACTTAGGAGCGATTTGATTGAACGGGAAGAATAGACACACTCCCTCAAAAACGTAAGTATCAGAAGTCAATCCAGCAATGACCAGAGTGGCATTTCTCTGGCTATTGCTTCATGAATATGCTATTATAGTTTCTTTCGGATAACTGGCTACTAAACCGCATTTTATTTGTGCAAAAGACAGGAAAATGAACAGCTGATTTCATCCGCCATCTTGGATGCTGACGTGCAAATCTAACTTCGGCCTGACGAATAATAATAATAATAATAACTAGATCTGCTACTGTCCCATGCAGATATGAAAGCATTCATATTCATCGTCACGTGACATGGATTATATCAAGTATCTTTAAAGAAATAAGATCAACAAAAAATAATTATCAAAATCGGTGAAAAAGTCGTGAAGTTACAAGTTTAAATATAGTGAGAAACATTGCACCCGGGCAACAAAATAATCTGAAAACTAAAGGGAAACAACTGAGACTTGGATTGCTGTAATCGGAATGACTTTCCGTTCCAGAAGTTTCAGAAAAATGGATCAAGCCGTTTTAAAACGGGACGGATGAGAACATGAAACGAAAATGGCGGGAAAGAACTAAAAAGTGGCAGGAAAATATCAAAAAAATAAATGAAATAACTTTGAACGGAACTAATATTTTTGGAATCAGATTGACCTCAGCTGTTCGAATATTTAGGTTAAATTTGTAAAATTTGAAAATTAAAGGCATAAATTGTCCTGCAAACAACTTTGTTGGCACGTAAAAGGTCAAAGGCGAAAGAGATATTTTGAAAATTTTCAAACACCAAAAGATCGATCTTGATCTCGAGCTATCCTGAAATGCATTCATTTCAGAAATAAGAGCGCATTGAACATATTACGGCCTATTGTGTTTATATTCAATATAGTTCTTCATATTCAATTCCAAATGGAGACCATCAGTTGACCGAAAATCTTTTTTTTTTAAACTCTTTTTTTTTTTAATCGGATCAAAATGGGAGTAAGGCACAAAGTCTGGGGTGGTAATGGGCGTATTGTGTCCAAATTTCATGGTTTTCGGACAATCAGTGTCGTGGCGAAATTCCATTTTTTTCGCACTGACTGAAGCCGTAAATGGCGGAAAAAGCCCAACGACAGTCGACAGGAACCGTGTGAAGAACAAACGACCTGAACTAATGCAGGTAACGCCTTGAATTTTTCAGGGCACCTAGGTACCAGCGTGAAAAGTTCCTCGCCGGAATTTGGTACTCATGGTACGTTTGGTTCCAGCGTAGCGCATGCGCGAAGTCAAAACCAGCTTAACTCAAAGCAATCTTGTCGGCACGGAAAACATCAAAGGCGAAATTCAAATTTTTGAAATATTCAAATACCAAACATTCAACCATGAGCCAGGCTATCCTGAAAT